GCCGGGGGAGCCGCGGCGGCACCGGGAGACCTGCCTCTGGGCTCCGGAATGTAGGCAGCCGTCCAGATGAAACGTAACTTTTTGAAATTGAACCAAAAGTACAGCCGTGTACTATAGTCGGCTGAAGATTTCCCACCACGATTTCTGGTGGTGTAACTCACGGCCAGTTCTCACTGAAATACAGCAGCGTTCTCTGTTGGTTTGGGTTTTATTTAAGCCTTTCACAGGCAGTAGAAGAAACTGATTGTAAAGTGGGGAGGAGTTTTGGGTTGGGCCAAAAGGTTTTAAGTGGTGCTAGGGTTGAAAATAGAGGTGGAAAAGAAGCCCACAGTCTTGCTGGTTTAAGTTCTTGGCGCCTTTAAAACTGCCAGTGGCAATATTTCCAGCGCATTCAGAGGGGGTCAAAGGATGAGAGCTAGAAGCTGGGTCATGACAACGTCTTTGAAATTAAGTAAATATGCTGATGAGTTCAAAAAGCATAAATTGAGATTAGATATGTTAAATTGGCCTTGGTGATCTTATCTTACGAGAGAAGTAGGGTGTCGTAGTCTGTGCAGCAAACTGTTACCAGTGATGAAGTTTGTTATGCTGTTTCCTTCTCCCCACTTCAAAAAAAATACAGCTACTATTACATTTTTGCTCCACTTAGCAAAATCGCTAGTCACCGGGCGTTTACTTTTATTGTAGATTCATATAGATAAAGTACGTTAGGTGAGTTGTGGTGTGTGGGTTTTATTCTATGTGTGGTGTTCTTTCCTTCTGCAGTATAGATTCTTTGGAGAGCCTGTGGTAGAAGCTTGTGTTGAAAATGGTGCAAGCTACATTGACATCAGTGGAGAGCCCCAGGTATGTGACTGTAGAAAAATGCTACCTTATATTCAGGATCTGTTAAAAGAATGTTTGTTTCACGTTTCCACTAATGTTTTTCAACTTGAAGACAAATTCTGCCTCCTGATCTACAATTTTAAGATGTATTGATTATTTTAAAGTGCATTAATGTGTATTAGCTGTATAGTTTTTTCACTTTTAGACGAGAGCCTCTTAGGTTCTGTCTGGGAATTCTGAATTTTTTGAATTTTGCTTCAAGTCTCAGTTGTGATTCTGCATAGGAATTTTGTGTAGATCATATTTCTTTGCACTGCTGTGACACTTCCGTACCATAAATAAAGAATAATATGTATCTGCCTTAAAAATGCTTGTAAGTGGTTTGAAGTATGTAGGCGGCTATGATATGACAGTAAAGTGCTGATGGCTCATATTGAGTATGGCCAAATACAGAGTTCTCCTTAAAATATTTGTTCTGACTGTGTTTTAGTTCCTGGAAGGAATGTACCTGAAATACAACAAAAAAGCTGCAGAAAAGGGAGTATATGTCATTGGAAGCTGTGGCTTTGACTCGATACCAGCCGATATGGGAGTACTGTACACCAGAGACAAGTTGAAAGGTGACTTATTCAAGTATGACCTTATACTGAAAAAGAAATGCAGATTATGCTTTCACTTAGTTTCCCAAAGCATTAATGCTTATGTGGAAACTCTTTCAGTCTCTCTTTTTGCCCGCCTTTACCAGCTGACCAGTTTCAGCCAAATCTGGCAGGTAAAAATTTTAAAGTGAATCATATTCCCATTAGGTTGGAGAAAATGGGTCGTTAGGTTGAGGAGGGATTCAAGGTAATGTTGCTCACCGAGAGAACAGAACCTTCAGTTGTCAGCAGCAGGGTGTTGAGCCAGCGTGTGGACGCCTCTAGGCAAGCCTCAGCAGCTGCCTCTTGTGCAGTGAGAGCCTTGTAGGGAAGAGACAGTGGGGGCAGGAAGGCTGCGGGAAAGGGAGCTCAACTTAGTGGTTAATCAGGTGTCTGGAGTTTTCTTTGTCTACCACAAGCACTGAGAAGCTGTTATATGAGTGTAAGTAGTTAGGCAGTGCCATAGAATGCATTTTTCTTTGAGAGCATCTGGACAGTAACTGCAAGAGGATAAATGTATTTGAGAAAAGATTGGAGAGGATTTAATTCTGTGCAAACAGTACTTGATCCTAATCTCAAATGAGAATACTTTGTTCATCAGGTCTGACTTCCAATTGCAAGGGCCGATAAAAGCATCCAAATTTTTTGCTTTTATGTACTATTAAAACTGCTATTAAGTAGGATTGCTTTACATTGGAGTGTAGCATCAACTTTCAGTTGAAGAAAACTCAACCTGAATCTGATTGGAGGGAGAGGAGATGCATGGAAAGGAGTAACTGGTTGTTCATGGTCTTATAATTTGATGTCTGATCCTTGCTTTGAATAAAGCTGTCTTTTATCTCTTCCTGTATTGACTTCATGGTATTACCGGTTGTCTATCCGGTTGCTCGCTATATTTAAATTTGTCCATACAAGTACAGTTTTGCAATCTCAGAAGAAACTGAGTAAAGCAAAACCAAGCAGAACTTGGAAGAGTTGTTTTGCTGTTCATCACAACTAAGTATTCTTTGCAAAACACAGGCTGTGCTAAAATTAAATGGTTTTGGATATTTTATGGGTTTGGTTTGGTTTTTGGTTGGTGGGTTGTTTTTTTTTGTAGTTCACATCTACCAAAATCCATGAGTCCATCTCAGTTTTCACAGCCTATGTCATCTTTTATTTTGAAGCTTGGAGGAGAACTAAATATGGCTTTTAATATTCTTTTCCTCTTTTTCATTGATTACTTATATTATCTCATTAACTAGAGAAGACAAATGAAAAATCTAATGAACAAAGATAGCAGTGACCCTTATTGCAGTACTTCACATAAGAAATTTGATATATGCTAACTAAAATAGCTGTGAAACTTAATCTTAGTTTATTTTACTTTGAGATAAAGATGTGACTGCCTTTTCAACTAATAGTGTCAGTGGCCTGCTATTTGAGTCTGCCAGAGCATACTCTGGATTTCTGAAATAATGAGTTTATATGCGAAGTAATGTTTTCTCCTCCCTTAAAGGTACCTTAACTGCTGTTGAAAGTTTCCTGACGGTGAAAACTGGGCCTGAGGTTAGTTGGTTTATACCTTCTTGGAAACTCAGAGATATTTGTGATAACCTCACCGCAGCCTGTTAGAATAACTGTCGTTGCATTAGTTCAGACCAAGGAACAAGCTGGTGGTTCTTTGATGAGTCTAAGAAATGGGTTCTCTAGGAGCTAGTAAAAGTATCGCAAGCCAACACCCTTTTGTAAGATTAATTTGCATAGGCTGACTGCCTACAGTTTGTTGTGTTAAGCTCTTTCAAGAAATACAGTTTTTGCAAAGATGTGGGAACGATTAATACACAAGTAAATTGTAACGGGTACCTAGTGTGCTGCTAGTAATCCTAATGTTTGGCTGTTTGGGTTTTTTTTTTTTGTTTGGAGGGATGTTTCAGTGGACTTCCATGCATGTAATCATAATACATGTATGTAATAATTGTAATAATGTGTAAAATATGTAATAATACTAAGGTCGTTGTTAAAATAATGCAATGATGACTCAAACTGAGCCAGTGTTGGTGCCCAACAATAGAACATACTGCTTTTCCTGTCCTGAGCACCCACGTTGACAGATGGGGCCCAAGTCATAGCCTGTTGTTACGAACATACAGAGGAGTGGAGGAGGCCTATGGAATGGGCCAGTAGTATCTGTCTGTTAAAGGACAGGGGATAGTAGTTAATGAGAATGTATGTATCTATGTGTTGGGTATAAAGATGGTTTAAGTATGTAGTACCAGTTGTAAGTGTTGGTAAGAATGCATTTCAGTAATGAGAATTAAATACAATGGGATGGTTAGGGTGTATGGATGGATGGATTAAATTATGTGGGACCTGAGCACAATGCAAATGGCATGGAATAAGGGGTGGGGCTTGTATTGGGTCTGGCTGAGGTGGAGTTAATTTTTCCCATGGCAGCGCTCTAATGCTATGCTTTGTAATGGTAGCTAGAAAGGTGCTGATAACACACCAGTGTTTTGGCTGCTGCCGAGCAGGGCTCACACAGCATCAGGGCTGTCTCTCCAGCATCCCCCCACCTCAGCCAGTGAGCTGGGGGCGGACAAGGTCCTAGGAGCGGACACAGCTAGGACAGTTGACCCAAACTGACCAAAGGGCTGTTCCATACCATATGATGTCTGCTCAGCAATAAAAGGGAAGAGAAAGCCAGAGTGGGGGGGGGGGGGACATTTGTTATTAGGATGTTTGTGTTCTGGAGCAACTGCTGTGTGTGCTGAAGCTCTGCTTCCCAGGAAGTGGCTGGACGTCTCCTGCTGATGGGAAGTAAAGAATAAGTCTTGTTTTCCTTTGCTTCCACGTGTGGCCTTTGCTTTTGCTTTATTAAACTGCCTTTATCTCGACCCATGAGGGGGTTTTTTCCATCTTATTTTCTCACTTCCCTGCTGTAGAGAGGAGGGGATTGATAGAGTTGCTTGGTGGGCACCTCGCAAAATATAAAAAAATATATTTCAATATATTTTAATGCATATGATCATGATACGTATGTGTAAGAATTGTCATAATGTGTAATGTTTGTAGTAGTTGTAAGGTCATTATTAAAATAATACATGAAACCTTTAAATACTGAATTAATTACTGTTTCATGGTATGTCAGGGTTCTTGTATACATGATGGGACTTGGAAGTCAGCTGTTTATGGCCTTGCGGATCAAGACAACCTGAAGAAGATTCGAAAAAAGATAGGATATGCCCCTGTTCCAGTAGTTGGTGCAAAACTTAAAAGAAGGTATAAGAAGCGTAAGATGTAAAATATACTGTCTTCTAACAGTTCCAATATTTATTGTATAGATTGTTAACCTATTATTAAAGGCTATAAAGATGCATTTAGGACTTTAGTATAATATGAACACATAGATGCTTATCTAGTAGAATTGAAGATAAGTTCAGTTTTACTGATTTGTTCATATTTCACTGAAAAAATAACGTTCCAGCATTTACTGGGTCTCAAAGTTAACTCATTCTAAGAGACTTGTAGTGATGTGGCAAACTTTCTGAGTTTGATTTCAGAATGGAAAAAAGAAATGTGAGGAGAATATTATTTTGCTTATTAAATTCATCCTTGCTGTAGTGCATGCAATTTTGAGTTGAGTGAGGGATAAAATTGGATGTTTTCTTTTCAGTGAAAAGAGACAATGTCATAAAAATGCCTGAGAAAAAGCCAGTATTGGTAGGGCTGTTATGATCAGTTTCTTTCAGCTTGCGTGAACATTTAAACTTTTTTTTTTTTCTTCCCCATTTGCAGAGGACTTGTGTTTTACACTCAGGAATTCAAAGGGTATGCCATTCCATTCATGGGATCTGATGTTTCTGTTGTGAAACGGTCTCAGCGTTACTTGCACACAGAGTTGCAGGAAACACCTGTAAGTTACTGTTACTAGTATACTATGTCCGTATTGCCATTTTCAACAAATCTTTCCTTTATGTCATAACTGTTCTCAGTGCAGATCTGTGTAGCAGGGTTTCTGTAGTTAGGTAAAGTCGTGAACTGTGATATGCTCTTGCTGCCATAAAGATGGAGGCT